TCTTTACGGTTGCCTGGCTTGGAATAATTTTGCTAGGCTTTGGGCTATAGAGATGGTTTCTCGTTGCCTGGTACCCAGCCCCAAGAGGATTATGGCACAGAAACATGATCTTCTGGGTGCACTAGCTATAGAGGAAGGAAGGCTCTGAGGTCATTAGTTTGTATACTCAAGACATGCTCCAGGCTGGCCCTTTGCTATCTCTGAAATTTGACTGGTCCTGGGAGAGGTAGTGTCTCCTCAGCCAGAAGTGTTTTTTAAGATGTCAAAAAAGCATAACATGCAGAAAACTTTAAAAATATGTCTACTGCAAGTGGCTTAAACAACACAAATGTACTATCTTACACTTTTCAAGGTCAGAAGTCCAGTGTGTTTTGCTAGACTAAATTGAAGGTGTCTCAGGGCGGCATTCTTTCTGGAGGCTCTGGAGAGAATCCATTCCTTCACTTTTACAGCTTCTAGAGGGTGCCCAGTTTCTTTGGCTTTTTCTTGGCCCTTTTCCTCCAGCAGAGACCCAGCAGTTTCACATCACATCATCTTGGCACTGACTCTCTTGCTCCTCTTCAGCTAGAAGGATTCTTATGATCACAAGATTTCATTTGATATATAATTACATACATAACATATATGTGATGAAGTATAGTTTAATAATATAAACACTGTTGAATCCTTTACCTAGATTTAGAGTGAAAACATTACCTAGATTTAGAGAGAAAAGATAACTGTATAATCCACTACTACCTCATTCCCCAGTAGTTCCCTACATAATCAGTATCATGAAATTTCCTGTTATAATTCTAGATTGATGAATATGTATATATATATATATACGTGTGTGTATAATGCATATACACACATATACATACACACACACAAACATACATACATATATATATATATAAAGAGGGAGAAGGAGAGAGAGATTGCTTGCTTTTGAATTTTACAAAAAATGGTGCCATTAGTTATATCCTCAGCACCTGCTTTTTTCTTTTTACTGTTTCACATTTCTAAGATTCATCCCCATCATTAGAAATAGCAGCAATTTATTTTCACTCCTAGATATTTGATTTTATTGACAAGGCACACTTTATTATGTATTTTTTCTGCTAATGGATATTTAAATTGTTTCCAGGTTTTGGTTTAGTTTGGCTTGGTTTTTTATTGAAGCTAACAGTGTTGCTGTAAATATTTTTGTACATGTCTTCTGTTGCAAAAGCACAAGAGGTTCTTTAAGTTTTATACTTTGAACTAAAACATCTGTATCCTGAGTATACACTTATCAAATTTATGTTGCAATGTTAATTTTTCCATATTTTATACTTTTAGCAGCAATGTATAAAGGATGATTTTGCCCTGTACTATTCTTGCCAAATTCTGGTATCGTCAAAATCTTATTTTTAACAGTGGAGTAAATATAAAATGGTATCTTATTAATATCTTAGTTTGCACTTCTTTCTTTACTAATGTGGTTGAACAATTTTTTCCGATATTCATTGGACATTTGTGATGCCTCCATAGTAAAATGTTTTGATTGTTTTGGCCATTTTCTACTCAGTTGTTTCTGTTTTCCTCAATTATTGGTATGAAATCTTTTAAAGTATGTTACAAATCAACTTTCAGTTGTCTATGTGGCAAGTACCTTCTTGCAATGTAATTTATGTTTCCGTTATCCTTAAATGAGCTTTGGAACAGAATTTCTTAATTCTGACATCATAGAATTTATTAACTTTTATTTTATGATCAACACTATTGTGCTTTTTAAATAATTTACTCTTCCTCAAGGCCACACAAATATTCTGCTACATTTTCTTTTCAAAAAAATTTTACCAATCGTATTTGAACTTTTAATTCACTCCAGGTTGCCTTCCTGAGTAGTGTCATGTTGAGATGTAGTTTAACCTTTTGCCATACACAACCTGTGTGGTTGTTCAAGGCTCTTTTCTTCTTCACTCCAGGGAACTTTGTTACAGGCAAGTTATTTCAAGTCTAGTTACAAGGACTTCTCTTAGGGTGGTATTATTTTGACCGTCAGTTTACCTACCCCTTTCTTTGCACGTTATCACAAATGGCCAGAATTCAAAAACGATTAATATAATTGGATTCTGGGTATAATAGGGTACTGTGGCTAGGAGGAATCAGCCTTAAAAAAGCATTTTTGAGATGCTGAATTTGGTCATGTAATAGCTTTCCATCTTAACATTCATTTGCAGGCAAAGCAAAACAAAAACTGTGAGGAGTAGTAAAATTTTAATTTCTAAGATTTTCAGGACATGGTTAGTTTAGTGTTTTGCTTTGAACCCTGACCCTGAACCAAATAATAGAAAGATATAATCAAGCTAATTAACATAGTCATCATCTAACTAAATGTAGTCTAGGGGTAAGAATCCCAAAACTTTATTCTTTTAGCAATTTTGAAATATACAATACATTACTACTAACTGTGCTTACCATCCAGTACAATAGATCACAAAATCATATTTTCCATGCTGTGGTGAATGACAGGATTATTGCCATCAAGCCGGCCTCAGATGCTTCTTATTTCCCTACACTAAATGTATTAAGAGACAGAGTTGCTTCAGAAAGAGCATCACAATGGGTATGTAGTAACATTTGGCCTTGGTGACAGATGATCTGTTGCTTTTTTCTTGTGTTACTTAGAAATAGAAACTGAAAGATACCTAACATCTTTTCTAGCTCACATTTGGAGCAAAAAGTGTCCCCAGAAAAACTGAAAATGTATCTATAAAGTTTATCACTAGTACTAACAACGTAAGGATAAAGAGATTCTATCAAATATTATTACATATACTGCAACTTAAAAAGTACTTTTATTTTAGCCTAAGTGTGGTGAACAGCTGCAGAGTTATAAATCTAAAAATGTTACAGGAAAAAATGCTTCAAACAAGATTACTATGTATCTTATAAATCGGTACAAATGTAATTTTTGTTTGTTTGTTTGAGATAAAGTCTCACTCTTGTACCCTAGGCTGGGGTACAGTGGCATGATCTCTGCTCACTGCAACCTCCACCTCCCAGGTTCAAGCAATTCTTCTGCCTCAGCCTCCCAAGTAGCTGGGATTACAGAAACCTGCTACCACACCTGGCTAATTTTTTTTATTTTTAGTAAAGATGGGGTTTTGCCATGTTGACCAGGCTGGTCTCCAACTCCTGACCTCAAGTGATACACCCGTCTTGGCCTCCCAAAGTGCTGGGATTACAGGCCCGGACACCATGCCCAACCCAAATGTAAATTCTTTACTAGTCAATTGTCTTTCCTGTCAGGTATGACTAGAACTTGACCTCGTTCAGTCTTCTCCTGCCTATAAAGCAGACAGAGAGTAATTTGGTCAGTCAGATTCCTTTGGTGATATTGAGGGCATACACTGGAGAATGGTGAAGGAAACAAGAACGAGCCACCAACCATGGAGCTGTGCCTCCTGGTGCCCTGGACTACAGGCTAAGAGAAGATGACCTATTCTAGGCTGGTACAAGTTTGTTCACATATCCCCATGTACCACTTCTACAGATTCTTGTGATGGGTGAGATTTCCACAATATCCTGAGTTTTCTGGTAAAAAGTTGAAGTGAACACTGCTCCATTGTCACTTTGGAAGACACATGGGGCAGCTAGTAAGCAGAAAAAATATTATCTAGTGTGGAACCTTAGTTGCAGTTAGAAGATTCTAGACTCAGGGCACAAATATTGATCAAGGGGATATATAGATAGGTAATATTCAGTACAAACCCTGAATTTGACCTGCCAATAAGATAAGCAATCTACCTGCTCTGATATTATTAAAGCATCCGTTGTGATTGCCTGGTTACTATATTCTGATGTCTCATAATTTGGTATTCAAGAAATAGAAAAATATGAAATCTGGTTTTCGGTGCCTGTGAATATCTCCAGCCTTGGCTATTTTGCATGCAAATGAAGTGATCTTCAAATGTTTGCTCTAATGTTGAGTACGATGAGGTCTATATTTAATTTATTTGCTCATTTCAAAAATCTAGAAAAAAATCATTTATAAAGACATATGTGGTACTTACTTTCATATACTGTGTATATTCAAACACTACACATATACTCAGCTGTCAACATCTGTCATTCTACACATTAGTCCGAAATTATGAGCAAGAATTTGGTTGAAAGCATTGACTTCTCTCCTTTTGAAATTAATGACAAAGGATCTAATTGGGAAATCTCAATAGCCAAATCTTCTTAAAGTATTATTGGCTATAATTGTCCTTTATTACCCTTCATTATTCTAAAATCAGCTTTTATTTTTCACAAATTACTTATTTCATAGAATTTACATGCTATGTTAAACATGAGAAAATGTGCTTTCATTTTGAAGAAGTACATATGGTCATTTTTGTAACACAGAGACCTTTTCAGAAAAGTTCACTAAACATATTCTGGATGTAATTGTATATCTACTAAAAGAAATGATTCTAGAAAATAAAGGCAAAGATGAAAGTATCTTTCTTTAAGTGTCTAATAGCATTCTGGAATTTCATTGTGACAAAGCAGGGCCGTAAAATTTGAATGGAACATCAAGTAAACATGATAAGTTGAGGTCTTTCCTTTGGAGGGCAATAGGTCACTGAAGACATGGCCAAAACCTCAGAACTAGGATAACTCTTTTAGGTGGTAATGAATGAGGACACTGAAGGGTGAAAGATGACCCAAAGATGTCATGGGTTCCTGTCATAATTCAGAAAAACAAAAGAATAGTACATAAGATCCCAAACTCTTTTTTATAAACTTTATGTTTTTAGAGAAATTTTAGGTTTACAGAAAAATTGAGAGGAAGGTATAGAGATTTTCATCCGCCCTCTGCTCCAACGCTTGTATAGCCTTCTCCATTAACTATACACCCCTTCCCCAGAAGGGATACATATTCTACAGTGGGTGAACCTGCATTGGCATCACATTGACACTATGGATTCTAAACTTTTTAAAACTGGGTTTTTATTTTTCTTTCTTTCTTTCTTTTATCACAGGATTACAGAGTGAATATCTTTCTTCGTCAAAAATGGAATGATCCCCGCCTTGCATACAGTGAATATCCTGATGACTCTTTAGACCTCGACCCCTCCATGTTGGATTCCATTTGGAAACCTGATTTGTTCTTTGCCAATGAAAAGGGTGCCAACTTTCATGAAGTCACTACAGACAACAAATTGCTCAGAATTTTCAAAAATGGAAATGTCCTTTATTCAATAAGGTGAGTCATGGACTTAAATTGCCGATTTCAGTGAAATAAAATATCACAGTGTTTTGTTTATTTGTTTGAATAAATGAACAGTGAATTCCAGGTCTATGCAAGAAAATTCTGCACCTTTTAATAAATATTACCAAGTTTTTGAGCAAGTTCTATGCTTATTGCACTTCAGTTCCTCTAATATACAATTTCCCAAATACGCCTGATCAATAACAACAGACCCGCGTCCCAAATTCAGAAACTATAAAAATAAAAATTAAAAAAAGAAAAAGAATTATGGAAATTTAAAAAATAATCACTTCATTTTAGAAAACCTTTCCAGATGTGACAAAAATCGTCAGGTATATCTTGTAAGTAGCTATTTACTGACACTACACTTGTTTCATATTTAATGAACTCCCAAAGTTAAGTGAGCCCGAGAGTTCAACTGTCCAAACTTTTTTATTGGTGTGTATGGTTGGGTATTAGTTATTATTTAATATTGATATTATTTTTAAAATGCTATACAGTCTTCTGATTACTCAATAATGAGTAACAAAAATATAAATAAGATCTTTTCCAGGGATTGTGATAAGGGTTTTGATTGTCATCAATTTTCACATAATAAAGTGATTTGTTTTTTTCTTCCCTGCCTTGTTCAAAGTTTATCAACAAAGTAGCCACTTTGCAGCGTGTTAGAAAGGAAGAAAATTGAACAGCTAGGGCAAAAATCCAAAAAAAATACCAGAGAAACTCAAAGATATTTTTAAAATCCTATATATCAGAAAAATAATCTATGAAAATGGATCTGAGATGAGCAAACCTCAACATTCCTTCACCTATAAATATTTAAAGAAGACACATATACATAAAAATATTACCACAATGTATGATTCAGCTGCCTTTCACTTTGCCTTTAAGATTCCTGACAACCTGGCTGATGTTAAGAATCACCTGAGCCACTTCTTGAAAAGTAGATTTCCAAGAATTACTTATATAATTCCTGAATCTCGGACTTGGATCTGTTATTATCGATCACGTAGAGCCAGGAATTCCACCCCTTCCCTGCAGAACCAAGGCATACCCTCCCTCCCTGCTGGGTGGTTTTAGAGAAGTCCTAGTAGACAGTCAATTCTTTCAACATCACCTAGCAGTTACGAGGTCATTTTCGTCATAGTGTCAGTGGACATCATGTTTAGAGCTGGGACATCCAGCAAAAAATATGAACCTCTCCGGTCACAGGTCAATATAGAGAGTGGGTAGGCAACAGGCACCACCTAGAAGTAACAAGATAGCACCTTCCTATGCCAAGACAAAGGAATGTCAGAGAAAATCAGTGAAAACTGATTTAAAGAAGTTTAAATAAGAGCCAGAGTGTAATAAAATAAATTTTTAAAGACTTCAACCAAGAAACATTTATCATACAAAGAATCAGAAATCATTCCAAGAACCATACATAGTTCAATAATTCTGGAAAAGGACAATTAACAGATGGCAACATCAAAATGACAAAGATGAGGCCAGGAGTGGTGGCTCACACCCTGTAATCACAGCACTTTGGGAGGCTGAGGCAGGCGGATCTCTTGAGACCAGGAGTTTGAGACCAACCCAGGCAACAACCCTGTCTCTACAAAATAAAATAAAATAAAATAAAATAAAATACAAAACTTAGCTGTGTGAAGTGGCATGCACCTGTGTTCCCAGCAACTAGGAAGACTGAGGTGAGAGGACTGCTTGAGCCCAAGAGGCAGAGGTTGCAGTGACTCCACATCGCACCACTGCACTCCATCCTGGGAAGCAGAGCAATTCCCTATCTCAAAAGAGAAGACAACAATGTTAGATACCTGGCAAAGACTTTAAAGTAGCCATGATCAATTTGCTTCAGTGAGCAACTACAAATATGCTTGAAACAAATTAGAAAAATAGAAAGCCTCAGCAAATAAATAGAAGCTATACAGTGAAACCAAGTCAAATTTTAGACCTAAAAATACAGTAATTGAAATGAAAACTCAGTATATGGGTGGAACAAAAAATGGAGAAGATAGAAAAAAGGATCAGTGAACCATAAAACAGAATAACAAAAATTACTCCATCTGTGCAAGAGAGAATGAATAGATTATTTATTGAAGTTTGTGTTTGTATGTAATGTATCTTACATAATTATCAATATTTGTTTATTTTAAGACTTATTGGAGTTGGACAATGTCAACATAAAGGACACATTACTGAGCTTTGTGTCTATTTCACATGACTGAACAAAATAGAATATAAAAGCTAGACTACTTTGCGTATGAGGAGCTTCTTGCTAACAGTATGTCACCAAAGCCGAAAGCACTTAACTCTGTCTATCCTGAAAATTTGTCACATAGGATAGATCTTGCTATTAAGAAGATTTCAAGATGACAGTCGTACTAACACCTTAATTGTGTCAATTCAAATGCATTATATTAAAGAATACCAAAGTTTATTATATTGAAAAGTTAAATAATTTAAATATGATTAGTGAGAACTTGCTACTATGTCCGTTGGAAATGCTCAAGTGTTTTCTTTCTTAAAGTAGTGGAATAAACTGGAATTATGTCTCTTATAAATGACATCATCCATTATGAATTGCTCACACTTCTTCTAATATTTTGAGGAAAGCTATGAAATAATTCGGAAACGCATCTTTTGTCCTTCAGTATGAATTCAAATGAAACAGATGTTCTCTCAGCTCGTAGTTTTTGTTTGCTACATCCTGGCTGGCATGATCAAAGAAAAAATTCATTTTTTTCTGAGTTATTTTTGGAAATCTCACAGGACTTTGAAATCTTCAAATGCTTCAAATCTTCAGTTTCTTTGTTAACAAAAATTGTGCTAGAAAAAGAAAAAATTCTTGTCGAATTTACAAATGGAGCATCTGCGATGTTTCATGAGAAATCTGGCTTTCCTGCTTTTTTAAAGAAAGAAGCAGCAGGTCCTTGCAAAGGCGACTAATTGAACTTACACATTTATGCATATTTCCTCCGAAACCCCACTAAACAAGGAAATAAACTGAATTAAGAATAAAAATGTCATTAACACACAGGAGGATGAAAGTAATAGGGAAAAAAAACAGCAACAGACGAGTGAAATATATTTAGGAAGTTTGAAAATGAAGGCACTTGTGAAAAGTGACTTAGAGATAGTGGAAACCTAAGTCAATGTAGGGGAATTCAAAAGAAAGAGAATAATTAATATTTTCAAATTTTTAGAAATGTAAGGCAGCTGGGACTTCAGAAAGTGGGGGCCGGGACCTAAAAGGAGTATAATTTATTTAAGCTTTGTAGGAAAAGTCGACGCTCTATTCCTGATTTTCTTCCCATGCCCACAGGTTAGAGACTCCCTTTTAACCTTTTGACCTAAGCAAGAAGCAAGAGGACAGAAAATGCTGGAGAGGCTCTTTCAAGAGCTTCAGGCATAGGGGCTCCAGGCACAGCTTGGTATGATGCCTGTCAAGAGGCATCATACCAAGAAAATGAAAATGACAGGACCCTTGCTTGCCCTAAAATCCTGAAAGGCAGACTTAAACTTTTTCCACTGAGCAGTAGACAAGAATATAGATGATAGATATAGATAAAAATAGATTATACAATGGATATAGGTTATAGATAATATGGCTGCCTGGAGGTTCTATATAAATATACCTATATCTGGGAAACTAACTTTCCTAAGGGAAAAGATCTACAGATTCTGCATTTGAAGAACCTCTAGGCAGCCATATTATCATCCTATAGTTTAGACCATTACTCAATGAGCTATCTGCTGCTAACTGAGCTCCAGATAGTTTTTAGCGCCTCATTGTTAGATCTATTTAAAATTTTATAAAATTTATAATATAAATATTACTTACATTTATGTGTATATATATGTTACATATAACAAAAAGTTATGCAAGAGCTTATAACAAACTATCAAGCTTAATCATGAACAAGAATTACATATTTATAACATGAAAATACTGAATATTAATTTAACCACAAATGTTTATATAATTCACGAATGTCAATTAAAGGTTCAAGCAGTTCTATAAAACATATAAAAGCCAGTTTTACTTTTGCCCTGCCCATCCCTATCCCCAGTTCCCACTTGTCAGAGAGGTAGCCTTTCTTTAGCTATTTGTCTACCACTCATACTTGTATACTTAAGTTGCTATAATATCATGCTTGGTTTTTAAAATATTTGAAATTGTCTATTAACTTTCTATAAAGAAAAACAAGAGTTTATTTCTCTGATATGACACTCCATGTATACCTATCTAGCTACCACTGACTTTGGGAACCCACTACATTTATAGCAAGCTGTAAGCAAGCCTTCCCTTTGTCCAAGTGAAAGATGTTCTGATCTCTCAAAATGATCAGCTGCATAAACAACTCTGAGAAATGGCTCAGATAAAAGGATAATCAGAGCTTTGTAGTCTTGGTATACAAACTAAGAGGAAGTATAGGGGCACAAGAGGATGAAGGAGGAATATTGTTTCCCAGCCCAGATCGAGGCTCTGCTATTGACTAGCTGTGATTTGGGTTAAGTCTTTTTACTTTTAAAAGGCTCATTTTTCTTATGTGCATGGCAGTAACAATACTAATTACCTTGAGCCTGAAATAATGTATTAAAATACGTTAAGTAAAGCACCCAGCATAGTGCCAGACACACCATAGGCACTAAAGTTGTTATTTTTACTTTTTAAGAAAAGAAAAGTATAACTTCTGTTTTTTCCAAAATCCACAAATCAATACAACATGAACTCTTTAAGTTATTAATGTATCTGAGCCTCAGTTTTGTCACTTGTCAAATGAGGATGGTAATATCTTTATCATAGAATAATGGAATCACATCATAGGCAGTTAAATATAATATACTTTCTCACTTTACTAATATTACTAACAAGCCCAACTTTACTACTTATGGTGCAGAAGACTCTCGCATTAAAAATCAAATCACCGGAAGAAATTTTATGTGAAGGATGCTACGCACAAGAACTTGACAACAATCGTGATAAAATTTTAACTTTTATTTAAGGCAAATGTAATCCCTCTGTGAAGTTGGTGACAACAACTAAAGTTTAATTGTATGATAATATGTATTTTTTAACATTGACGGCCATTAATTCTTAAATGAGAAAGCAAACTTATTTGGATGGTTGCTTTTTTAAGTACTGTTTGTTCAAGGGAAATTAATTTACAATGCTATAAAATATTTGTTGTAAGGGGAATTTGGCATACACATAACTGTGTATGTTTTTCTAAAGAGGTCCATAGTTTCACAAAGAAAGCATCAACAATACTGAGATTGCTTTGGTGATGGGTTGTTGAGATCAGTGATTGTCTCTATGAGCAGATGACAGTTAAACTCCAGAAGTAGTTACAGAAGCTCATTCTAATCTCCCTTCTAATGCTCCAGCAATCTCATCTCTCCTAAGAGTAATTTACCCTTTACAAAATCATTCAGAATGACATACCAAATCATTCAAATATATCAAATCTCTGGGGAAATTCCTTATATTTCCTAGAGTTTAACTATATTTCTCTGATATCTTTTGGAAGAATTATTTATGTAGGTTTTTCTAAAAATTATTTATATATGTTTTACTTTAAATTTAATTACTGATACATGCAGCAATGTATCATTTCTTGTGTTACAATAAATACATAATTTTAAATGCCATATTAATTACAGAACCCATTTTCATGAAAAATGCTTCAGTGTCTTTGAGAGAAAGTATACTGACAGGTTAAGAGCATGAAATCTAGAACTAGAACCCCAGGGCTGCAAATTCAGCTCTTTCAAGTTTCGATGTGTAATGTCAGCTGAGTCACTTAACTTCTAAGCTACCTCATCTCTAAAACAGGGTAATATCATTTACCCATTCTTGTAAATTTGTAGTACAGAGTAAATGAGTTAATATACATAAAGTATTTAAAATACTGCCCACCACACAGTAAATATTGTCTAATAGATGTGTTATCTAAATGTGATATTACAGATAATGTACATTCAAATTAATTAAATTGCCTAATTGAGGCCATTGTTCTTATGACAGTAAATAAAGAATTATTAGGAGCTAATAAAAATACTCATTTATGTGCAAAGTCTCTAATAGATTCAGCAAACATTTTTTAATTCAATTAGTGGTTGAGATAGACACATTAGACAATGCTTGTTCAAAAATGGGCAATAACTGAATTTTAATGAGATCAATTGTTTGCCCCAGATTATTGTCAGCTTTTTTAACATTACTGTTTCTCTAGGCTCCAATCTTAAAAGTCTTTCCCAGGACTTCTTAAAGGAAAAGAAGAAATGCCATATCCTGTTTACATATCTTGTCTCAGAAAGATAACTTAGCGTCCCTCTCACACAAGTAGACATTCATTTCCAAAACAGTAGTATGTGATTAATTGCCTCTTGGTTTAGTTTTCTTTTGATGTGGTCAAGACATATCTTTAATTTATATGTCGTGTTTTGATAAAGAAATTCAGTATCATACCCACCAAGTTGACACATATTTTTCAATATGCTGTGAAAGGAGCAATTGTTTTGTACCTTAAACAAAAAGAAAGAAAGTCGATGAATAGATTTTCTCAGGATATGATTTATGACACTAGTTCTACAAACTGTGTTTTTCTTTGCCAAATAATTCAAGTGCTATTTTTTTTTAGAATTATGTAATGTCTCTTTTTTGTATGCCAGAAAAATAGCCAGGATATGAATTTGACATCCCATGCACCATGAGAGTGTGGAAAAGATTCTGAGAATGCTATTTACCTCCAAATAAAAGGTCACAGAATTAATTTTACAAGTCAACGTTTGAAACTGGCTTTCTGAGAGCCTTGGATATTTGGAAAATTAATGTGTGTACATTCAAAATGTACGTGTGCATACACTTCTAATAAACCCTTTCGCAAGTCAGAGAACATTGTGTCCATCTAATTTTACAATTGCCTTTTTCAGAGAGAACTTTGTAAATTTACACAATCATACTTAACCTAGCTGAGCCAGGAGAAAAATTGCTTTTGAATACTGAACTCTATAAATTATTCTAGGGTGTTATGGACTCTGACTCGAATGAATTACCAGATTATCCTCCTGAGACTCTTAAAAATTCAGCAGCTTCACTCTGTTCATTTATGTATTCCAAATTATGTTAATTGGGCCTAACTCACCAAGCATACTCTCTGTAAAATATACATAATTCTAACTTTATGTCTGTGGTCTACATAAAAATGTCAGTTTGAAGAATGTGGTTATATTTAGTAGAACTGCTGGCTATTTTTTGTTAAAGCTTAAATAGTTCTTTTTTCTTTTTCCTTCCTTCCTTCCCTCCTCCTTCCGTCCTTCCTTTCTCTTTTTCTTTCTCTTTCTTTTCTTTCTTTCTTCTTTTCTTTCTTTTTGTTTAAGAGACAAGGTCTTCCTCTGTCACCGAGGCTAGAGTTCATCAATGTGACCCAATGCGGCCTCTACCTCCTAGGGTCAAGCCATACTCTTGCCTCAGCCTCCCAAACAGCTGGGATTACAGGTGCACATGCCACACCTGGCTAATTTTTGCTTATTCTTCTGTTTTTTGTAGAGATGGAGTCTTTTTATGCTGCCCAGGATGATTTCACACTACTGGGCTCAACTGAACCTTCTGTCTTAGCCTCCCAAAGTGCTGGAATTATTGGTGTGAGACACCATACCTGGCTAACAGTTTCTTAATATGTAATTTAACTCAGTCATCTTTGTGCCTACACTATAGAATTCAGGGAATGGGTAAATGAAGGTTCTAGGAGTGGCTGAATGTACTATAATCACTAATAACCACTGCTTGTTGAGTGTGTACTATGGCTGAAGCACTCATCTAAGCACTTATGTGTATTAATTCATGTTCTGCTCACAGCAACTCTCTGGAGTAGATACTATTGTTATCTTCATTTTAAAGATGAGAAAACTTCATTTTAAAATTTCATCCAATGGTCATGAAATTTAAGTAAACTAATCCACCTAGGGGCCTCATGAATACACCGAATTTCTATGGGAATAGTCTCAATACAAGAGGCTTGCTAAAGAGTTCTCAGAAAAGAACTTCATTTGAATAAACTTGAGTGGATTTCATCATCTCTTCCTCAGGTTTAGAAACTACAAAAACAGCCGTTGAGAGATCTGGGTAGTTTGCTTTTCAAACAAAAAGCATTCAAAGGTGATGAATTATCTGGAATATCAACATACTAATTCTCTCTGGAAGCTGGAGGAGAGCCTTTCCAATGAGCAGAATACTGGTATACAGCACCCAGGCTTTGTGTGAAGCCAAATCAGAAGTTTGTTTGATGAGCATGGAATCAGATCATGAATATTCTATAAGGTTATTTCCTGACCCTGATGATTCCCTTATCCCACACCAGGGACAGTGAGGCCTACCTTTTCAAGTCCTCCAGATTCACTTTACTAAATACACTGCTGAATGCTCCCTGACAACTTCGGGGGTATGATAATGATGACTTAAAGTTACCTAAGATTGTTCCCCCGCACTGCTTTTCCACGTTTAGAACTCTAGTGCCTCCCCAATACAGTATGTGATTTGCAAGGAGGGATACATTTTGATAGTCGGCATTAATTTTATAGAATCCATTCTCAAATTTCTCTTTTGAGACTGTCTTCTTGGAATACAGACATTTCCTAGACATCCACAGCTCTTTCTAATTGAATAAATAAACACATAGATATATAAATACAGCAGGATGCTTCTATTTAGGTTGGTGCAAAAGTAATTGCTGTTTGCCCACAATTACTTTTGCACCAACCTAAGACATGCAACTATCCAACCCCCAGCCCCCAAAGCCAGATTTGTATATAACGGCATAGCTATTTTATAGTAAATAAAATACATAAGCTGGAGAAATGTTTACTTCAATCTGGGTTGGTCACTGCCAAAGCAACATTGTTTTTCCTGAACAATAGAATGTTAATATAATGTCATAAATTTCCTTTAAAAACAATTAATTTCACTTTCAGATTAACATTAACACTTTCCTGTCCAATGGATCTCAAGAATTTTCCCATGGATGTACAAACATGTATAATGCAACTGGAAAGCTGTAAGTATGAACGACTTACTTTTAAAAATACTTTGACAATATAGTAGATAGAAGCTTTTAATGCCTAATATGAATAATTTATTTTGCAATCATTTTGGTCGCATATTTACTGAATAGGCATGTAACCTTTCACCAGGTACTGAAAGTACTGATATCTTTCAATACACGCACCCTATACTATGAGAAAGAAACAAATTGCGGATCTAGAAATAACAGATTTTTAAAAATTGAAATGTAAATATATGTTTCCATTCACATCATCAGAAGCTAAGAGGGTGGTAATCCTCAAACACAAACTGTCACATTTATTGGAAGCCCCTTATCAACCAAGTGTCTATATATTTCTTTTCTTATTCTGACAAAGATATTGTTATCCCCATGCTTTAAAATGTGAAAGTGGTCATGCTGAATGATTGAGTATTGGGCTCCAATTCCCAAAGGTGACAATGACAAACTCTGCCTCCAAACTTGTGCTGCTTCTGAGAACTAATGTTGATTATCTCAATATCACTCTGCTGGGTATGGTATGTATGTTGTCTCAGAAGAAAAAAATTTATCACACTTTCTCACAAACTTATTCCACCTTTCAGGTTTTCCTCTAAATTTCTTCTTTCAAAGTAGACCTATGTGCCTCACTAATTGACGTTCACAGAGATGAATATTTCACGTCCTACCCTTTCTCTGATCTGTCTGTATAATTAGTCCTAAATTATTTGTTTACAGTGTATATTCCCATGCAAACATTAAGCAATATGCAATATTTTCTCTTGTTATACGAGGGGGAAAATGGTTTGACATACTCCTTGAGGGAAATTTGAAGACGGACCCTCACACTACTATGGTTGTCAAAGACAAGGCTTGTAGTGTGATGGAGTAGTCAACAGATGGCGCACCTACTTCGTGGGGCAATGTGACCATCCCCCGCCCCCTCCCATTTGTTTTTTTCTTAAGTGGGAATATCCATTTCTCTGATAAGAACTCCTACTTATAACATTTAAATTGATTATTTTTGTAAGTAGTTCTTAAATAATTAATTAGCATACACATGAATAAACTACTAACATAAATGACAGGAAATAAATTAAAATTGGGGGAGCTACTTAGCAATTAATATACATGGAGAGGAGCAGCAGAATTTTGAAATTGAAGAGAGGCCATTTGAGAACAGGCTGATAGTGTATCTTGGTTGAAAAATTAAGTACATTTAGGGTATAGATGTTGAAACTGTGCACAACAGTCTAGTGGCACCCTCATTACTAAACTGGGGGGCCGGATGTTATTCAATAGGTATGAGAAATGGTCGACATATTAGGGCCAAGAAAATTATTTGGTACTTGCTGTACCCCTTAAAGATTATTTTAGTTAAATAAACCAAAATTATTTAAGAAGTGCCCATGATTTTCCAGCAAAAAGAACAAAGTAGGACAAAAAGCAGTTATGTGAAAGGTAGAAACAGGAGAGGTTGATTCAGAGTAGAAGTGAAATCACTGAGTGCTTGTGAGTCAGAGCTACAGAGCTTAGATAAATGGGATCCGATTAAAAGCACTGATGAAGAAAGGGAACAGGGGATGAGAAAGAAATGTTGATGTGACTGTTGATAAAAATCCATCTTAATATGTTTGAGGCCTGTGAAATTTAGGTCCAAAGTCAAAGAGAGGAGTGAAAAGTGAAGATCAAGTATTAAAAGCCATATATAGAGTGGTTCAAGGAATCCGATGAAACAGCTGAAGAAGAGAATGTAGAGACGAACACAAAAATACAAAGAAGAACAAGAACAGACCCTTGGGAAATGCCTACCTTTAGAAGTTGCTGGAAGAACTTCCAGACAAAGGGTTGTCATAGATGGCAAATTAAAAGCGACACCATTCAATCTCAAAACAGAAGGAACTATCAAGGAGTTTTGTGTAACAAAATGAAATGCTGCAAGAAACCTTTCATAAGGGACTTGAAAAAAGCGATTGTTATTGTCAACAAAGACAAATGTGACTAGAATGATGATGGTCAAAGCTGGAATCTGAAAACTTTTTTTTTAAGTGAGTGATGAGAACGTGGGGCAGTGAGTGAAATCTGTTATTCCACGAATGTTAGTTATTAAAGAAAGATGAGAAAAAGTACAGTGCCTGAGGGTTGGTTATATCACTGGGCTTCCTTTTTTGAATAAGGAAAGCTTACCAGGGCTATTTTGCAGAATGCAAGAGCTGACATAATAAGACCTCTCAAGTGCCCGCCCTTGTCAGAACATTTCCAAAGCAATCTAAAACTCAACATGAGAAAAGAGAGCCTCTCTTCCTCTTCCTCCTAGTTTCTTAATTCCTCTATAAGAAATATGAGTGGGGTGTAAAGGGGTTCTTTAATATTTCAGTTGTTAAGCACTTCCTGCCCTCCCATTAGAAATCAATTTTAATTTAGCTCACCATAGAGACTTGTTTATTAAACACCTTTAGTAGATGCTAATGTCAGTTAAAGTAGAAACTACTGAAGTCAAGTTCTTCAAGGCGTTTTTTTCTTAAAACTTTTTTAGGACAATTTCATATGTATACACACATATAATATATATTGTATATACATATATATTAAGAAATGCTCACATTTCTCTCTATATATGTGCATATATACACATACATACAAATCTGCATGTGTGTGTGTGTGTATGTGTGTGTGTGCGTGTGATTTGTCTGTTTGTTTGAGACGGAGTTTTGCTCTTGTTGCCCAGGCTGGAGTGCAACGGCGTGATCTCGGCTCACCGCAACCTCCACCTTGTAGGTTCAAGTGATTCTTCTGCCTTGGCCTCCCAAGTAGCTGGGATTACAGGCATATGCCACCATGCCTGGCTAATTTTTTGTATTTTCAGTAGAAACGGGGTTTCTCCATGTTGGTCAGGCTGGTCTGGAGCTTCTGATCTCAGGTGATTCACCTGCCTTGATCTCCCAAGGTGCTAGGATTACAGGGGTGAGTCACCGTGCCCGGCCTATATATACATTTTAAGAAAAGTTTATATCTATTTTTCTTTCTTTGTCTTTAAATAGTAGTTTAAAATGACGAGACAAAAGATTGTAAATTAGTGGAACTCACTGGAACATAGGTAAAAAGAGTTTAACCTATCAGAAAGCAAGAGCTGTAAAAATCCCAGGGTCTACTTTTGAATGAAATCTAACTGCAAAAAGGAAAAAAGAAAATGTTCAATAATATTAAGACACGAAAAATGAAAATGAAAAAAATTATATCGGAGAAGTGCACCTTTAAAAAGTCCAGAATAATTTTAATCAGAAAAAAATTAATGGCAGTAAAAAATTATGAGTCACAAACACTTGAGTAGTATGCTGGTAAAAAAATCAATATACGGTAGCTTACCTGTAATCCCAGCACTTTGGGAGGCCAAGGTGGGCAGATCACTTGAGTTCAAGAGTTTAAGACCAGCCTAGCCAACATGGTGAAACCCCATCTCTACTAAAACTACAAAAATTAGCTGGGCGTGGTGGCACGTGCCTGTAGTCGCAGCTACTTGGGAGCCTGAGGCCGCAGAATCACTTGAAGCAGGAAGGCAGAGGTCACAGTGAGACCAGATGGCACCACTGCACTCCAGCCTGGACAACAGAGGAAGACTCTAAAAAATAAATTAAAAATAAATCAATATATAATTGGGAAAATATAAGTATGTAACCATATAACTTCTAAATTTACTAAGCAAAAGCAGGATGAACTGCATAAAAAACAGGTAAATCAACAATTTATTGGATTGTACAAACACAGTATATTTGAACAAAACAAATCATAGAGAGAGACAGAGAGAATTCTTATCGTTTCTTTGTTTTTGATTTTTCTTTTTAGCATATGGGAACATTTACAAAAATTAATTATGTTATATACCACCAAGGAAGTTTCAGTAACATCCTATGAATCAACATGTAATAAAATGAGATTGCTAACAAAAATGCAATTAGAAATCTATAACAATATAGAATTACTATAAGTTGCTATAAATTCTCATACATTATTATGTATTAATATACAATTGTATAACTGGAATGAAAAGCATATACTAAGTGACTATTTGTTTAAAGGTGAAATTAAGAAAAACTTGAGGCAAGTAACAGTGAAAGCATAGTGTATCAAAATTTTAAGACACAACTAAATCACACTTTTTAAATAAAAACGATTGCACTAAGCATTCTATTCAAAAAGACCAAAAAGACACAATAGAGTATCCAAAAATTCACACAAACCCCTCAAACTGGTGCTTTGAAGAATCTCAGAACCTAGGCACATCCCTGGAGAAATTCTTTAAAGAAAAAGAAATTAAGCTCATTAAATATAAAAAAATACAGAAGGAAGAAACAGAAGTAATTGTAGCACGCCAGGTTAGAAGCAATGAAAGAAAATCCTGGCAAGTCTTTTTCAGTCATAGTTATGGAAAGGAAATTCAGCCAAAACCTTTATTTGAAAATAAGAAAGAAGCCTAGGGGAAAATCATCTGTGTAAATAGCTAATTTTGTCATAAATTAATGAGAATTTCCAAGAGCTGAGACAGTAATGATGGGAAAGCCAGCAAACATTTTAAAAAGCTGCTCAAATATTTGCTACATAAAAGGAAGAATTATGCATAAAGATGATTTCCTCAAGTTTTCTCTCAATTGGGAAAATTGAATATTGCTTTGTTACATTAATAGGAAAAAAGAAGGTGATTTATGGAAAAAGTAGGTCAAAGCTGATGTCTGCTTAAGTGTGCTGTGTTTTTTTGTGAAAAATACATGTTCAATTAAAACTTTGGATTATGGGAAATTTTAGGATAGCACTTGAATTAGGAATGGTTGTACACATATAGACACATAACCTTAGAAATGAGACATGAGTAAGAATGGAGGCATGAAAATCAGTTGAGATGTTTCTGGAGAGAGCATAGAAAATGATAACCCAAAGAGAGCCAGAGAAAGAATCATCAAGTTTTAGAAAAACTGCGGAAAGAGAAAGAAGTGAAACAGAAAGACAAATAAAAAACTCTT